TGCTGTTGCTGTTGCTGTTGTGGTTGTGTTTGTGGTTGTGGTTGTGGCTGTGGTTGTGGTTGTTGTTGTTGTTGTGGTGGTGGTGGTGGTTGTTGTTGTTGTTGTTGGTGGTGGTGTTGTTGTTGTTGGTGGTGTTGCTGTTCATGTTGTTGTGGTAATTGTGGTAATCGTGGCGGTGTTCTTGGCGTTGGTGGTCAAGGTGTCGGTAGTGGTAGTGGCAGTGGCAGTGACAGAGGGGGGTGGTCGTGGTCGCGGTGGTGGTGGCGGTAGTGTGGTGGTGGTGGTGACGGCGGTGGCGGTTGCGGTGGCGGTGGTGCCGGCGGCGGCGGTGGCGGTGGCGGTGGTGGTGGTCGTAGTGCTTGTAGTTGTCGTCATCGTCGTCGTCGATGTTGTTGTTGTTCGGTTGCAATTGTCGTGGTAGTCGTTTCCTAACCGCGTGCAGCCGCACCTTGAGTTTGCTGCTGCACCATGCGTCGGACGTCGGCTCGGCTACCCAGCGCCACACGGAGGTCGTCCGCAAACGACGTCCTGAGAAGGATTGGGGATGGATTGTGGTTTAAGGATCATATTTAGGATCTCGCTGCAGCTTGGGGCCCATGGCGTAGCCTGGGTTCAGTTTGGGTTGTGGCTTAGTTTAGCAGCCTGTACTTTGGAGCCCTTTGTCAGAGGCATCAATGCCCAAGGAAAGGCTTAACGTCTTGTCCGCTGAACCTTCCGGTCTTGGGCTGTTGGCTTCGGGCTCGACGTTTGGAAGCAGACTCGGGATTGAGCAAGAATGGATTGCTGCCGTTCGCGCAGCGGGCATGCTTCACCACCTTCACATTCAGGGGCAATTTTGCCTCTAGCTGCATAACATCGACACCCGCCCTGACAAAAACGGGAGACGGACGGCACCTCTGACAAACACTGCAGAACTGACACAAACGCACTCAAGCTCTCAATGAACCCCACAGGTTCTGCCGCGAGTCGAGCTCCATCGGTTGCTGGTATCAGGGCTGACATCACCGAGACTTTCCAGAAACCTGAGAATGCAGAAGGTAAGTGGAAGTTTCTACACAAGCATCGCTGCTCGTCATCGTCACCCTCAACGTCTGCGAATGGCAATGCTCTTGTCATGTTTACAAGCCGTACCGTCACTATCATCAAGAAAAGCTAGATAATCTTGCTCAACATCGTTTCCATGATCATCGTCATCATCACCGGCACCATCATCATCGTCATCAAAATCAACATCATCACCTTCGTCACCATCATCATCAGTACTATCATCATCATCGTCGTCGCCACCACCAAGACCACTCTAATTACTGGCGTCACATCCTTATCAGCGTTCGCATTCAGCAACAGCAGAAGCAGCATGGAGTTTCTTCGTCCACCTTCACAGTGACAGTGTTCTCTTCCCACAACTTGCTATCACCATGAGCAGCATGTTACATCCCACGAGTCATCACCAGAACTGCCACATCAACATCGTGATCTCCAAAATCACGAACATCAATCTTGTCTCCATCGTCATCAAAATCTGCACGTTTTTCTTCGCCGTCATCCCCAGCTTGGTCACAGTCATCACGCTCATCACCACCATCGCGCTGTCGGTCGCTGATTCGCGCTGTCGGTCGCTGATTCCCACCCCACATCGTCGTCGTCCGCGGGGGAGTCGTCAACCTCGCCAATATATTCACCAAATCGATACCTGCAGAGACTCTCTGGTTGCAGTCGACGCAGATGCGGCAGGATATGGCGGTTGCAGCAGTAGCCGCCGTCGTGGTCATTCGCAACACTAGTGGGGCGCAGCAAGCAGTCGCAATAGCAGTAGTAGCACAGTAGCAGTAGCAGTGGCAGTATCAGTAGTAGGAGCAGTAGGAGGAGTAGTAGCAGTACTAAGAGTAGGAGTAGGAGTAGGAGTAGTTGCAGTAGCAGTAGTGGCAGCAGCAGCAGTGGCAGCAGCAGCAGCAGCAGCAGGAGGAGCAGGAGGAGTAGTAGTTGTTGTTGTTGTTGTAGGCGGTGGTAGTAGTAGTAGTAGTAGTAGCAGCAGCAGCAGCAGCAGTCGTGGTGGTGGTAGGTAGAAGTTGTAGCGGCAGCAGGGGGCAGCAGCAGCTGCAGCCGGAGCAGCTGCAAGAGCAGTGGCAGCATCAGGAGCCGCAGCAGTTCCAGCAGTACCTGCAGAAGCGGCAGCAGCAAGAGCGGGCAGCAGGAGCTGGAGCAGCAGAAGCGGAAGCTGCAGAAGCAGGAGCAGCAGTGGCAGTCGTGGCCGTAGTGGTAGCCGTAGCCTGCTGCTGCAACGACAGCTGGCAGTATGATCAATAGCTGCAGTCGTCGTCGCAAAGGTTTCAAGCCAACCGAAAACAACCAGCTCGGCAACATTGAGGGCCATATATGAGAGCGAGCAATACCAAAAACTGCAAATGCGCCGGCTAACTGGATCTCTTCCTCTGGCGGAGGTGGGCCATGGGGCGATAACCGTGAGCGGAAAGAATCGCCTGTGACAGGAGGAAGCCACCGGGGAATTGCATAGGGCATGGTACCACGAACAGCAAATACAACCTCAATTACATTCGCATCAACACTGGCATGCGCAGCTGTAAAGTCGGAATGGCCATGTCAAGCTTCATCGGAATCACATCTCTTCAGACAGCTTTAATGTTGAGTTTGTAGGATTCCTAGGATCGTTTGAGATGGTCTGTGGTCATTTTGCCCGTGATTTAGGTTAATATGTTACGATCCTGACAGATCTATTTGTTGCTGGGGTGAACAAGAGCTGCCACCACAAGCCCCAAGGCTCGACGTTGGACTCTTGGGGGGCCCTGCTTGATGTGCTCATTTTTCGTATAGCGATGCCAAGTCAGCAACACACCGCCATGCCGGTGGCCTGAAACCGGTGATTTCTGCCTTACAATGGCAGCGTCGTCGATAGGAGTGACATGCTCCTGCCAAGGCCGTCGCGTTCCAGGAAGTTCCAGAGTTGCAGCCTTGTTACTTCTTGGGTTTGACTTACCAGAGGATTCGAGAGCTGTCTAGACTCAAGCGCAGGGGCTTCTGAGAGCAAGATTTGTTGAATACTCGCGAAGATGGGACGCGTAAACGACGTAAACATGATGTGGCATGCCTTGACATGGCCCTGCCATACTTACCCCTCTGAATCCTCGCATTGAAAGCACTCAACATCGTTCCAAACTTGGACCTACTCCTTCGGAAGCAAAGGCTTCCCCCACAGCCCCTGAAAGGCCTCAAGGCAGTCCCAACTTCCCAACAAAAACCCTTCACACGCCTCGCTCAGAGACGTCTGCAGGCGCTTCAGGCTCGTGAGCTCCTCTCAAGACCCGTTTCTGCTGTATGGGAAACAGGGCTCTGATGTCGTCTCCTTGCTGCCCAGGAAAAGACTGGCCCCCAAACCTAAACCCAAAACGCAGTACCTGGACCTAAACCCCTGAACCTTGATCCCTAAACCCTCCGCTTCTCCCCAAGACCTCCCTCAGCGCCGTCATTTCGGCATCGAAGCTCTCGCCGAGCTTCCGATGGAGCTCCCAGAAAGCAGCCCTGCAGCTTCCGAAACAAAGGTTGTGGGGTTTGGGGGTAGAGGATAAAACGCTAAGGGCTTTCAGGGTTTAGGATTTGGGCTTTTGGGGTTTTGGATTTTGGGGTTTAAGAGTTTAGAGGTGCGGTGGTTAGCGGCTTAGGGGTGCAGGGTTTAGGGGTGCGGGTAGGGTGTAGCGGCAATGAATACCTGAGGAAACGTGACCCACGGAGCTGCAGTTGGGCTGAACAGAGCTGAAAGTGTTGGGATATCGGTGGATGTTGGTGGAGCTTCGTTCTTGCATCGATGCCATCTTAAGGTTATCCCAACCGGCCTGGGCCGTTCCATGCTTCTGCAAGTGGGCCTGGGCACAGGATTGGAAAGTTGACGGAGAGGCTGTGGCTTTGGTATGCTTTGATACAAAGTTCAGAGTGTTGGGGTAATGAGGCGACGAGAATGCGGGAGGGTGGCGCGAACCCGGCCAAAAGGTCTCGGGCCCTTTGCGAGGGTTTAGCTAAAACGCCCTGCAGCTCCTGGAATGCTGAATGCTACTGCAATACCACAGGACGCCCAAAATCTAAACACGACAAGAAAGCTTGCCTTGAAGCGCTATCCCGACCTCAAGGCGCGCGGCCTATTGCGCATCAGCCGACGTGTTAGATCGGAGATAGCACTCTACCGTAGCAGTGGCGATCACCTCATTAAAGCACAAACCCTGGATCAGGGTGCCACACCGTCAAGTCTTCACCATGGCCATCGGCGCCATGGCATTGGTGCAGAAAGAAAACTATGAGTTTTATGTTGATTTTAGGTGCAAAGATTTCCGGCCCGGAAGGATTCTGGAGATGGGATCTGATGCAAGCCCGGTGCTCAAGAAGCATGACTTCGCATGAAGGACATGAGCACTGAACCCACCGCTTGTGCCGGCATCGAGCCCGTTCGCGGCGGGAGCCGAGAGCTCCGCCGGCTTCCACGAGTGTAGGGCTTAGGAGTCTAGAGGTTTTCAGTTTAGGGTTGACGGGTTAATTAGGGTTAGGGGCAAAGGGGTTTCGGGGGATCAGGGACTAGAGTTCTGACCCCAACTGATTCCTTCGGTTAGCAGACACACACACATACACATGCGCGACAGCACCAGATTCGGACCCTACAACCAAATAGCTTGGGCCGGGCGAGCCTTGCCATAAGCTCCTTCCCCGATCTGTTTGCCAAATCGGAGACTCCTCCAATGGAGTTTCAGATACTATGAGGGATGCAGAAAAGGATCTCCTAGTTGGGATTTTATGTTAAAGTTAAAGGTCTCTGATGTTTTTGAAGCTCCCATTTTATATGCTATTGTACGATAGTTCCGTAGCCGGCTGCTCTTTTCTAGGAGCCCGCTCCGTGTGGGATATAACGAGTAGGTGAATCTCATCATTGAGTTGAGATGTGGGGGCTGAGATTCGATAGATCACACGTTTTCTGATACATACTTAGACAGGGCCTGGGACTCAGGCTGTCGGACTGAAATGCCGAGGCCTGCGCCTAGGGCCTAGGGTCTGGAAAGCATACATAATGTGTCATGCACAACATCTGAGTAAAGCCGGCCGTGTCCTGACATCTTCCGCACTGAGAGGCCAGTCGCCCAACATGGTGAAAAAACTCTGATGTATGTTGCAAGGTTTCAGGCTGGGGGTTTGTCGAAGTATCAAAGGTTGCATCTGCCGAGCAGTCCGCATGGAAATATCAGGCTCCAAACAAACCAAAAGGACGTTGGGGTGGGGGCGACATTGGTCTGGGGAGGTTGCTTGGGTTCCACGGCGCAACATAAACACTGAGTGCTTTCCATGCCGCGTGATCTTCTTACTTGAGAGGCCTATGGCGTGCAAGCAACAGCTTGGGCCGAAAATGGACGAAAAGAGCACAAGCCATCTGCTGCTTGATTTTGAAGTAATGCTCTCATGTTCGTGTGGTTGTGTTTCACCTCCGTATTGACCGCGACTATATCAGCTCGGAAGCGAGACTCACAGGAGGCTCCATCAGGATGGTTGTCGGGGTCATATCCTCGTCTTTTTCCTCGCCGTCATTGATCACCAATCAGCCGAAAATCGGCCAGCTACGCGCAGCAAGAAAGCTGAAACCTTCAGTTTTGGACGTGGCGATAAGCATCCATAGCAACTTAAGCTTACCTAAACCTTAAACATACAAGCCCATAAACCAAGTAAATGAAGGATGGTTTTGAAGTTCTCCATGATGAGGATACACTCAGTCACCTGTGTATTTCCCATTTGGGATCTACCTTCGGAGACTCGAGCTTCAAAGTTCTTTACAAGGTCTACAAGCCTTAGAACGTCGATAATGCTATGGCAATAACGCAAGCGTTCTCTGAGGCTCCTGTAAGGCCAATACCGATCTTCTGGCCAGCCAGATTTTGGCCCGGCCATCAGCGGCTGGACAGGCCTCAGACCCCAAGGCTTTATGTGTCGTCTCTCTCGTGGCCAAGTCACTGAATCCCCGACAGCTATTGCCGACACCTGAACGAAGCCGTGACTGCGCAGCCTCGAAGTGCTCCGACACCGACTGTTGCAGCACTTCCAAAGCCAGACTCTCCCAACCAGTGGCACGCGTGCAGTGTTGGAGGGGGTGCTGAACATCTACAAGAAGTAAAGCTTACCAAAGAGCATCTACAAACTGTAACTTCTAAGCGCTGTATCTCCAAACCCTCAGATTTCTACTCAGAAGCGCACATAAAGTGTAGAGTGTTGTTTTACGCTCTATTGCGAGGATACGGCGATGATCGCTTGTATGTCCCAATTTGGGATTTACCTTCGCAGACTCGAGCTTCAGAGTTCCTGACGGGGACGGGACAGGTGGGTTGCCTCGGGAGTGGAGCCTACCGAGCCTATATAATACGCTCGAAGTGTGCCGAGGCCTCTTTGTGCTCAGAACCCCAACCCCCAAAACTGTCCTCTTTTCACGCCAATAGTCTAGTAACACCGAATACCAAAGAACACTTTTTGCTCAGTGCCGGACGTGTGCAGCAGCAGCAAAGTTTCACAAGTTCTGACCACCTCAAGCCGTGTAGCTGGGCACCACCCGCTGGAGAATTCAGAAGCTTGGAGGGCTCTCACATCAAGAATCTCATAATCGAGGGCTCGCCCCACATCCTCATCCGAAGAGGCTGAAACGAAACCGTCCGAGGGTGCTGCAGTGATGTCTCCTGTCTGGCAAAGATACTATAGAGGCATAAACAATTAGCATAGGGTTTTGGTGGTATCTGATTATAATATGAGTGTATGACTATATTAAAGGATCATGATAGGTACTAGTTACTCCGACCCCTATATTTCTAGAAGTCTAATTGAGTTTTGCCAATCCCAATAGACTGAAAACTCTGTTGGAGGAGCTCGTGCTACACAGCCGGAAGGTATAATCAGTCTACTCGCCAGGAACTGTAGCTGCGACAGAGAAGGCACTTACACGGGACAACGAATTGGTAACGCGGCACATCGGGGAAACAAATAGGGAGGCTCTTCAAAGCATACGAGTCCCTTCCAAACCCATGATGCGAGCATTGCATTTGCAAATGGCGGGGCTGCGATCCCCCCCAACCCTGCTTTTAAGCCGGGCAAGCTTGCTTCAAGCGTACGAGTCCCTTCCAAACCCATGCTGTGAGCATTGCGTTTGCAAATGGGGGGGGGGGGGGGGCTGCGCCCCCGCCAACCCAAACTCCCTGTTGTTGCCGTCTCCGCTGTTGCTCCTCCCAGGCGCCGCCCTTCCTCCCTTCTTTCCTTCATCTTTCCCTTAAGGTTTTAGGGTGCTGGGGGGATCCTTATTACAATTATAGTCATTAAGGCCCCCTGCATGATTCATCAGGGCCCGAGCGAAACCCCACGAGCCCCAAAGACCCAATTCATCCAAACCCTGTAAGCCCACGTGAGATCGAGCCATTGCATATGTTCTTGAGTCTGCGTGCTTCAATGACCGGGCCCAGAAAAAAGACATACTTTCTAAGATAAGCAAATCTGTATTTATTGACGTTCTCCCATTCGCTATCTAAGGCTGAGTAAGACCCCCCCCCCCAAACCTCAGACATGGCAATTGTTGCGAATGTAACTAAGCTCACAATGCACCCCAACACTAAAAGGAAGATGCCAGCAACACAGAAACCCCTATAGTCCTAAATCGTAGTACCCCTAAACCCCAGCCACCTGGGCCCTGCACCCTAAGTCTTATAACCCTATAAGCCATGAAAACACAAGGTTAAACTTTCAGATTACTACCAAATTAAGTTTAAAGGTTGGGAATTGGAGAACTCAGACGTTCTGAACTAAGCTGGACAAAGAGAAAGAGCTCCGGACGGCCGAAGATGCCCTCTGCAGGAGGGGTTAGGGCAGCCGCCTCACCCGGTTTAGGGTTTAGGATTATTTGATTTTGGGTTTTGGGGTTGAGGGTTTAGGATTTAAGGTTTTGGGTTTCGGGTTCAGGGGCTCTTCGGGGATCGATGTAGCTGATGAAAAACTCAGTCTTGCGGTGTCCGATGCTTCAACGGGTTCTAGCATGGCTTTACAGAAGTTGGTGATGGGTGTAGAAGGGGTCGTGTATTCGGGTTGTTGACTTGTGTTATAGAAGGTGTTTTGGGTGGTCTAGAGGTTGTTTGTTGATGGGTGTTATATAAGGTCCGATGTAGTTCCACCTCCATTTCTGCTTAACCATCACACAAGATATTATCGGTGTCTTAAGAATTCGATGCTACTTAGAAGTGGGCTTTTGAGGGGGCACAAGTATACGTAGAATGAGGAAACCAAAGTAATAGTAGT